ATCAGTTAGTAGTAACTCTCCGACATGACCCGGAAGCCACTAGATGACTGCAGTCGCAAGCACTTTTTAATGTTATTTTTAAATTTTCGCTAAAACGTGAATGTTCAGGAAAAGTAAGTTAGATTGTGTCCCTTTCGCTGTAACGGTACACGCCCTTGACCTTTTCCCAGCAACAGAACTAAGGGGACTCCGCCTCTCCACCTACTTTTTTAATTACCTTCCAGGGTGGTGTTCGTCACCTTAACTCACCCTGGAGACTCCGGTATGCTTCGATTGAGTGGCTTATTTGTAGTAACGGTAGCTGACTTATTCATTGCTGCCTGTGTGACGAGAGAAGACGTGAGGGAATATCCCAATGGCGCCCTGCTTGTGAGTGGTGGCGGATCGATCGCCAGTCAACGTCAACCCAAATTCTATTTTATGAATTATTTTTTAAAAAGTAATATGAATGTTACCTGTGTGCACCAAGCCTCCAAAACTATAACCTGTTCAACTGTACCACTCAACACGAAACACAACACTACACAAAACACAACACAACACAAAACACCACACAAAACACATCACAAAACACCACTCTTTTGCAGAGAAACACAACACTCCGAAGTCTAAACCTTGCTTGGAATGGCTTAGGAACTGAGGGCTGTAGAGCTCTGGCGATGTCGCTAGGGGCGAATACTTCTCTGACAGAGCTGGATCTGACGTGCAATAGATTGGGTCTTCGCTCCCTTGAATTTCTTCTAAAGGGCCTCAGCAAAAACACAGGGCTCAATTCAATCAAGGTATACACCTGTGGAAAAGGGGGCGTTTAAAACAAACAATTGGCTTTTGAAAAATCCATGATTATTAAATATCTAAATATCTACATCAAAATGGTTTGTCTCACACAAACTGCAAACTTACCGAACAAACATTTTCTTATGTCTGGGGTGTTACAAAAACAATTTTTGGAAAACTCAAAGCAAAGAAGAGGGGAGGGGGGGTGGAAAACAATACTAACAGAAAGGTAAACACAGAGTAAAACTAAGCAGTCCGTTTTTTAAATTTATTTATAGGATTAAGAACAAGGTTATGGTACGACTATCAAAATTGAAATACACTGCTATACTAAGTGGAAAGATTCATTAAATAGCCACCCCTCTTATTTACGAATTGATAAGGAGAAATTCGTTAACAGAAAACCTGAGAAAATAAACTAAAGTAAAGCCTTTATTGAAAACTAGTAGTTCAGCATTTAATGAATCAAAAAAAGAGATGTGTATCACAAAGATTTAAGTGATCATATTGAAAGCTGTATCCTGTCTTAACTGATTTTGTGAACAATTTCAGATTGGAAACAATCCGTTAACAACTGGTGGAGTAAAAGCGCTCTTGAAAACAATTCTCGAAGCCAAGGACTCGGAAATAACGTCAATAGATTTACAGGTAATGACTTTGATAATTTGCTTTGACATCGTCAACTGACTCTCAAAACCTGAACACAGATCACTGTCATTCACATTCAACCATCCTGTGCAGATCACTGTCATTCACATCCAAGCATCCTGTGCAGATCACTGTCATTCACATTCAACCATCCTGTGCAGATCACTGTCATTCACATCCAAGCATCCTGTGCAGATCACTGTCATTCACATTCAACCATCCTGTGCAGATCACTGTCATTCACATCCAAGCATCCTGTGCAGATCACTCGCTCCTTGATCTGTTAATCTTTCCATATCTGCTTTACACCCGGAAACAAATGGTTAAATCTCCATTAAATTTCTTCTCACTACTATCCCAACAAGGTAATCTCCATTAAATTTCTTCTCACTACTATCCCAACAAGGTAATCTCCATTAAATTTCTTCTCACTACTATTCCAACTAGGGCATCCCCATTGACGTGGAGTGTGTCCAGTTGATTGAAGAGCTCCACGACAAGAAAGGCGTCCACGTCATCCATGACCCCAATATCCACATGGCCACGTCAGACCAAACCAAAGATTTTGATGGCACCAACCTGGACAGATTCGATCCTGTCATGGTCATGTTCGAGTACATGAAGAAAGACAACCTCAGAGTCATCGACCTGTTCCAGGTAGTGACCCTCCTGTTAATTGCACTATGACTTAATCAGCTGCTTTTCCTACTTTTAAAGTTGGTTGGGTTTAATATGAATGGCAAACTCAGCTACATAAAGTTATGTTAATTATGTTTAAGTCATCAAGACACCATGAGATCATGGCACTGCATCTCTTAAACGCACTCAGAGGGTCTCAAAAAGTTTTAACGCCTTGTCCACAACATTTTATTTAAAAAAACAAAACCACATAAAATCAGATGTATAAAGATTATAATTATATTAAGATTAAATTGTTTCTATATGATTATCTGAAGATTATATTATTTATATATGATTATGTTGGGATAATATTGTTTCTATATGATTATGTTAAGATAATATTATTTGTATATGATTATGTTAAGATAATATTGTGTATATGTTTATGTTAAGATAATATTGTTTGCATATGATTATATTAAGATTATGTTGTTTCTATATGATTATATTAAGACTATTGTTTCTCTACAATCATATAAAGATCATGTTGTTTTTATATGATAATATTAACATTATATTGATTGTATTTTATTATATTAAGATAATACTGTTTCTTTATGATAATATAAAGATTATAATGATTGTATATGATTTTGTTAAAATTATATAGTTTTTCTTTAATTAAATTAATATATCCTGTTATTTTTCAGTTTTTGGATGCCAAGAAGAGAGAAAAACTCAGCAGGAATGACGTCAGATCCGGTTTCAATGTAATGATCCTTTTGTCCCATTGTATAATGTTGATTTGTTTCGGTGGATTTATTTTGTGTTTTGATTGTCCAATATCCTCACAGCCACATCACTACACTGATACGTCCTGCCTCTAACTAATCAATAATAATGTTAACACATGAATTACACGATCCCTCTCTGTCTGCAATGTGTCTTCGGTGCGTCTGCAATGTGTCTGCAATGTGTCTGACCTTTGAAAATGTGGACGAAATTAAAACCGACAGCAAATTTAAACAAAATATTGATATATTTACTAGAGCAACGACACGCAAATTAAAAATAACAATAACGTAATTAATTAATTAATTAGTTTAAAATAACGTACCCCCAAGTTCGACATACAAGTTATTAACATTTTTCTCTACTTTTCTCATTGTCTCTCCCCCCCCCCCACGCGCCCCCTACAGATCCTTATGATCCCATTCACAGAGCACGCCATTGATGTCATCATGGAAAAGGTGGACATCAACAAAGATGGCTATATAACGTTAGAGTAAGTAAGCAAAGATCTTCATGCTGACTTGATTTTGAAATATAGTTTGTTTTCTCTAATAACAATGAAAGCTGTCATATGCATTACAATTTTAATGTTAATTTGACTGAAATATATTTCTGTGCACTTTTGAAAAGTATTACATTTATAACAAACGTCTTTGAAGAAAACGTTGATATTTATAAGTAAACGTTGATATTTATAAGTAAACGTTGATATTTATAAGTAAACGTTGATATTTATTAGAAAATATTGATAATAACGAGAAAGCGTTGAAATTGATTTGAAAACGTTGATTTTTGTGATAAAATGTTGATATTTTTGGAAAATGTTGATATTTGTAAGAAAATGTTGATATTTATAAGGAAATGTTGATAATTTATAAGTAAACATAATTTGGTCTTTGTTTCAGTGAAATGACGAAATCGTACAGAGAGAACGACCGGGCTGTCAAACTGCGCAGAATCCGGGCCAACAAACGGAAGAAGAAAGACAACGGACTGGAGGACTTGTGGAAGATTCTCAAAGAAATCATCGCCAAAAGAAAAACAGAAAACGACAAGAGAGCTGGAGCTAATAACAAATAACTGACAATAAATAACTGTTAACTAACAACTGCTGACAAATGACTTTTGACAATAGACATTAACTGCTGAAAAGTAATATTTGAAAATGAACTATTTTGAAAAGTAGTTGTGTAACTTGATACCATATCCTTGTAGCGCGGTTCACGATGACTCAATTGCGTCAAAGCAATAATTACTCCAGACAGTATTCGCCAATGTGAGTGACCGGTGATTTGTTTACTTGAAATGGACAAGAATGGTTCATATAGTCGTCCACGCGTGTTGAGATGTCAGGGACAATACTTCCGAATGAGATTCTTGGACATTTCATTTGCAGTTTATCGTTAGGTTGATGGGAACAGGCCAAAACAGATCACTGGATTAGTCTAATGATAATGATGATGATGATGATGATGCAGTTTACCGTTAGGGTGATGTGAGCAGACTAAAGTGACCATTTGATTGGCATAATAACGATGTTGATGACGAATATGCTTATCGTTGATTTGTTGAAATGGAAACTTGACTTTTAAAAAAAAAAAAAAGCTGCTCCTGGTAATAGCAGCTTAAAGAAAATGGGAGAATATTTAACGAATAAATCAAGTACTCTGTTTGAATGTACAGGATCTGGCTTTAATTGTCGCTTATATTTATAGTTCTTAAATTGATCGTCTAGAAATCGAATCTGCATCGACTAAAAACTAAATGGTTTAAAATATTAATTTTTAAGTGTGCAAATCATTGAAGTGATCTTATCAAATTTGTCATTGTCATCCACAAGTAAGATTTCCGCCCACTGAAATATTTTTAACATTTTTTATTAAAACAATTATTATTCGTTTAAAAATATTGATTTTTTAAAAAAAAAGTAATGTTTCTTTCATTGATTAAATCCAACAGTGTGTAACTGGAACCTAAAACCAACACGTTGTCTGCTACAAAAATAACCTAACACCAGCCCCCTTCCGTCTTGTATCTACATCAAAAAATAACAATCAGTAAAGAAACATTTATTTTTTATTTTTTTTTATTTTAAAAAGTGGTACTCATTTTTTTTAATAATGTAATGTGGAACCATTCTTAATGCCCCCCCCCCCGCCCCGATCTCCACAGCCCCTACCCAAATCCCTTTCTTTTTTAAAAAATAGCCTGAGATCATCATAAATCACATCCACCCCTCCCCTTCCCCCCACCCCACTCCAAAAAAAACAAAAAAAACAACCTTAAACGACTCTTGTTTTTTCCTCCTCTCCTTTTTCTTCTAGAAAAAAAATCTTCCCATAAAATATACCGTTCCTTTAATCTACCTGTCAGATCATTAACCGACCCAAGCCCCCAATGGCTAAACTTGTGTCAAATGGACTGGGGTGTTGAACATATTATCAAATCAGAACGAACAACTTCAGCTGACAGCAACCATGGGCCAACCAAAGCTGACAGCAACAATGGGCCAACCAAAGCTGACAGCAACCATGGGCCAACCAAAGTTGACAGCAACCATGGGCCAACCAAAGTTGACAGCAACCATGGGCCAACCAAAGTTGACAGCAACCATGGGCCAACCAAAGCTGACAGCAACCATGGGCCAACCAAAG